ATGTTTTGGTCAGGGACATAAACTTCAGAAAATATTCTAGAAAAAAAAATAATTAGGGGGCGAACTTTGTACAGTTTGTCAAAGCCTGGCTGATCTCGGGGAGGGCACTGGGAATTATCACTGAAATGCAGGAAACGCATTATCATATCATAACGTGACCTGGACATTACGAATGAAAATATGGGAATGTGATGGATGGGGTGGGTGGACCAATATGAATGTAGTACATTTTTTTTTGTAAGCCCCATGTTGACCGTAAGGCCCAAAAACAATCTAAGCTCTTCTAGTGTTAGCGGTCTCCACTCGAATGGACGGGCATAACACGAATTGGGGTTGGCTGCAATAAATTGTTGGGCAAATAGGTTGGTTTGATCGACAATTGACTGAAGGAAACTATCAGGGAAAAATAAATTTAAAAAATCAATTGGGGAAAAATTTTCTGTGTTGATCTGCACTCCTGGTTGTGCGGTGAAAGGGTGGATTGTAGCTGATCCTGTGTTGGAAGGCAGCCACAAAGGGTTTGCAAGAGAGTTTGGGAGGCAAGTTTGGGACCTGACTCTTGGGGTCTGGCGTGATATCCCAGTGCTGGTACTGGGCCTGTCATCCTGGGGTCTAGCTCTGTTGGTATTTTCTGACTGACCATTTGTGTGTAATGGCACTTGTATGTTGGCGCTGCTCGTTGTTGCCTGCTCTTCAGAGCGTCTTACTCTTTTTGTAGGGACTACTTCCTCTTCCGATTCGGTCACCGATCCACTGCTTTCTCTTGGCTCGTAATCAAAATCGGAATCGGACGGTGAGAGCTCGCCGCTGCTCTCGTCCGTCATGCTCAGGATTTGGAAAGCCTCCTCACTAGAATAATATTTTTTGGACATGTTGGCAGTATGTCAGGCAACTGTAATGGGTAATGGGTAACTACTGATGGGCTGCAGTGATGGTGGCTTTTATGGGTACTCTGATGACAGGCTGATGACAGGTACACTGACAGGCTGCACAGTTGTATGCGCTGACAGGTACGTGGTGATGGGCTGCTGACAGGTACGTGGTGATGGGCTGCGGACAGGTACACTGTGATGGACTGATGACAGGTACACTGTGATGGACTGATGACAGGTACACTGTGATGGGCTGCTGACAGGTACACTATGATGGGCTGATGACAGGTACACGGTGATGGGCTGGTGATGCGCTGACAGGTACACTGACAGGTACACTGTGATGGGCTGCTGACAGCTACACGGTGATGGGCTGCTGACAGGTACACTGTGATGGGCTGCTGACAGGTACACGGTGATGGACTGCTGACAGGTACACGGTGATGGACTGCTGACAGGTACACTGTGATGGACTGATTACAGGGACACTGTGATGGGCTGATGACAGGTACACGGTGATGGGCTGGTGATGCGCTGACAGGTACACTGTGATGGGCTGGTAATGTGCTGACAGGTACACTGTGATGGGCTGACAGGTACACTCTGATGGGCTGACAGGTACACTCTGATGGGCTGACAGGTACACCGTGATGGGCTGGTGATGGGCTGACAGGTACACTCTGATGGGCTGACAGGTACACTCTGATGGGCTGACAGGTACACTCTGATGGGCTGACAGGTACACCGTGATGGGCTGGTGATGCGCTGACAGGTACACTCTGATGGGCTGACAGGTACACCGTGACACCGTGATGGGCTGACAGGTGATGGGCTGACAGGTACACCCTGATGGGCTGACAGGTACACCCTGATGGGCTGACAGGTACACCCGTGATGGGCTGACAGGTACACTGTGATGGGCTGACAGGTGGGCTGACAGGTACACTGTGATGGGCTGACAGGTACTCTGACAGGTACACTCTGGCAATCTATAATGTGCTGCACTGTACTGAGCTGTAACTCACGGTTCCCCTTCTTCTCCTCACACAGGATCCGTGTGTGAGGAGAAGAAGTGGTGACAACAAGTGACAGCTCTTTGTTTATACTTCTGATCGGCTGTGATAGGACACAGCCGATCGCAGGGTAAACAGCCAATTGTATTGGCTGTTACCCTAATCAGGGAAAGCGCTGTGTCCATGGGACACAGCTGGCAAGATACCGGCTCGCTGCGCCTGGGGGGCGCGCTTTGGGGGCGTGTCCGGGAGGAAGCCAAGTGACAGCTCCTTGTTGCTACTTTTGATGGCTGTGATAGGACACAGCCGATCGCAGGGTAAACAGCCAATAGTGTTGGCTGTTACCCTCATCAGTGAAAGCGCTGTGTCCATGGGACACAGCGGACATGAGACCGACCGGATGCGCGCCGCTGGGGGCGCGCTTTGGGGGCGTGTCCGGGACAACGCCAAATGGCGTGTACCCGGAAAGCTGCAGCGCTTTTCAAGCCGCCAAAACGGCTATTGGCCGGGCGGCTAATGGTTAATAAATTATATGGTTTAACCCTTTCACTGCCAAAGACATTTTTGTATTTTTTGCACAGGTTTAAAAAAAAATTTTGCCCCTGAAGATTGTATAAATCCCCAAAAATATATATTTTCTGAAAGCAAACATCCTAGAGAAATAAAATGGTGGTAGTATTTTTTATCTTGATCGATATTAGCACAATGGTTTAGAAATTCAAAATTTCAGTTAAAAATACACTAAAGTTAATTTAGTGAAATTTCCCTGCAAAAATGGAAAATTAGGTTGTGCCAAGTAAATAGATATCCAACATGTTGAACCGTAAAATTGTGTGCGCCCATATACCCTATATACTGGGGGTCAGCAACCAGTAGATCTCAGCCAGGTGTCTGGTAGATCGTGCTGAATGCCTGTAGGATGGAGAGGAGGAGAAGCAGGCATTCAGCAGCTGCAGGAGGAAAATGGAGAGATCGATTCTTCTATTTGCAGCAGCCTTGCCGCTCCTCCTATCCAGCTTTTTTTGCTGCCACCAGTGCTCTCCAGCCCCTGAGCTTTTTGGCCCCCCTTGCTCTTTGGTCCCTCCCTGCTCTCCAGCCCCTGTGCTCTATGCCCCCCATGCTCCTCAACCCGCCCTGTGTTCTTTCCGCCCCCCCCCCCCCCCCCTTCCCCAGAGTGCTGACGGGTTCCTCCCCTCTACTGCTGGCTGCTGTGGGGGATCTCTCAGGACAGAAAGCAGGTAAGGGGCCAGTGAATGCGTTATTTACTGGCCCCTCCTTTTCTGAATGGACAGTAGCGATCTCTGATTCTGTCCATTCATAACTGAACAGAGCAGTACAGAGCTATTCCTGTCCATTCATTCTGTGCAGCTAAGGCTGCAGAGATGGATATTGAGAACTTTCTCTGTCCCAAAGGTTGAACATCAGAGATCTGTTTTGACCTCTGATATTGCACCAAAAGCCCCCCCAATGGGACGACTAAAAAAAATTAACAAAATAATACTGTAAAGAAAAAAAATATATATATAACAAAAATAAAAAACAAATACTGACACCACTGGTGGAACTACCAGGGTCATAAAAGTTGCACATGCAACCGGCCCTGGCATTCCACCACCGGGCTCGGAGGGAAGGGCCCCGGCCAGGGGTTCCTTCATGGTTTTTTGCATTGGGGCCATAAAGGTTCTAGTTACACCACTGGGTGCATTATTTTACATTTAGAAACATTGAACTTCAGTTTCCACTGTTTTGACCAATCTTCCAGCTATACCAAATCCTATTCTATGTTACAGACACCTCCAGGGATACCATCCCTGTTGCACACCTTAGTTTCATCAGCAAAAATATATGTCTTACCTACCAACCCTTTAGTTTAGATTAAATAGAACCAGACGTAGTACAGAGCCTTGTGGTACACCACTAATGATTGGTCTCTATTTTGAATGAACCCCATTTACAACCATCTCATATCTATCCTTTAGCCACCTGCATATCCACGGCACCATCCAACTCCTAGCTTATACAACTTTTTCATGAAATCATATGAAATTGTAAAAAATGCTTTGCTGAAATCAAGAAAAGCTGTCCACACACCACTCTGGTCCAAAAGACTAGTGATACAGTCAGGAAATTCAGTCAAATTATGACAAGGTCTGTGCTCAGTAAAGCCAAGCTGCATTGGGTCCAGCAAGTTGTGTGTGTTTTTAAGTGATCCTTCTCTTTAGGGTTGATGCCATTAAATTGACTACAACAGACGGTAAACTCACTGGCCTGTAATTGCCAGCTTCTACCTTTCTTGCCCATTTTTGTGGATAGGTGCAATATTAGCTGTCTGCCAGTCATAGGGAACGTCTCCTGCTAGAACTGATTGATTAAAAAAGATCGGGTAATGATTCACAATCCATTCCTCAAAGTTCTCTTAGAATTCTGGGATAAATATCATCAGAACCCATTGATTTATTAAGCTTTGACTAAGCCGTTCCTCTGCTACCTCTATCTTTAGAAATCCTTAAAATGATGAACCTTCATGACTAGAACCAATACAGTTAGAATTTTTTAGAAACTAAATCAGATAGGAGCATAGAAGAAGCTATATTATTCTTCTGTAAAAGTAACCGCAGGCTGTTTATGCCATCTGCTGTTAGGCAGCAGTTTAGCTTTAGACATTGAACAGGTTAATGTTAAATCAAACTCCGGGCACAAAAACTTTTCTGTAAATATATTCCTTTTAAGCCACGAAGGGCATACAGTGAATCTACTTTTTTTTTTTGCACCACATGCCTTTGCAAACCCAGTTATTACTTTATAAAAGTTTTAGAGACTTTACTGAGCTGTATATAGCTTGAGCAGAGGGCTGAGCTGTGTGAGGGGCCAAGTAGGCCCCACCTATTACAGGCTGCCTGCAGAAAATTACAGCAGGGGGCGGATACAAGACCAGTCAGCCTGCACAAGGCAAGAGAGCAGCAGTGACTGGTCTTTATTACAGGACATACCTTTACAAAGGCAATTACAGGAATGGGTTCATGCTGGATTATTGCATGATTCTGGAGGAAATATACAAAGGACACCATCATTCAAGAATCTATATGTCTCTCATAGGTAGACAATATTTGTTTAGCCCAGAATGTGAACCTGACCAGGGGCGGACTGACAACTCATGGGGCCCCCGGGCAATAGGGGATCATGGGGCCCCTGTGTTCTTGCCCAAACTCAAAAAAGCCTATTAAAAAGGTACCAGGGGCATCTCATGGGGCCCCCTACTGACCCCGGGCCCTCAGGCAGTGCCCGAGTTTCCAAATGGTCAGTCCGCCCCTGAGCCTGACTAAGACTGCAAGGTTGCTGTTTGCTTGCCGTTGTTCTACAAGCCCAAAGTTTTGTACAGTCACTGTGATCCAGGTTATAGTGTAATGATTTAAGACACATGAATGGATCCAGATGCGTGCTCTAGCCATGATATAATTTAGCCTGACGTGAAAGAGTCATCCATCTGTTTTTCAGCTGGTCAGAGGAAGGCTGTAATGGGACGTTACAGCTAAACCTTTACGTAGTTTTCCTATTTGAAGCTTTGCTCGAATTTTAATGTAATCAGCAATAATCTCTCTCCAGCCCGTTTCAGGCAGCAGATGTTAAAGTCAGCTCAGAGTCAAGTCTGCCTGGAAGCGCATTCGTCCTTCTGTGCTGGCTGCCCGCTAACGATGCACACGGCACGCGAGTCACATTTAGTAATGTGCTGCCGGATGCAATTATACTGGATTAGCAGAAATTAAAAAAAGAAGCAAATTAAAACACTGAAAGGAAAATTAAATAAATAACATAAATTAAGGGCGCAGAGAAATTCATCCAAAAAAAAAGGACAACCCTGGGGCAAACGTTGCAATTAAAAGAAAAACAAAGACTTGTACATTTCACAAAAAAAGGAGAAATGTGTGTAAAGCAAACTGGAAATGACATACAATTCTGGCATTCATCATGTTCAGCTGGCTGTCCTGCTCTGTAGTTCCACATGCTTGCCGGTGACCTCATTTTCAGAATGGCCTAGTGAATCCAAGCTGAAAAACCTGCAGGCCAAGCGCTTCATAGCACAGCCCCTTGTAGCTGTTTCACAGTATAGGGTCATGTAACCAGAGGCTGTAGGCAAAATCAGAAGGAAGGAATCTGGCTTTACTGGATAATGTTAGAGCACAATAGAACTTTCAGTTTAAATCAGATAAATGCATTCCAGATGCATCAAAACAAAAGGTTTTCAACGTTTTACAGCTTGTTTTCTTTAGATAGTAGCCTGAGTAAAAAAGCCTGTCCACTGCCAGCATTTTGCAGAAAATCCTTGCTCTCTATGTGTAAGCAGTGGTCTCCCTGCAGAGGTCCACCACACCCTTTGCTGAGTCAAAGATATAGATGTCCAATCAACATGGAATCATAGAAGCAGCTCCTTAGGATTCCCCTCTCTGTTCCTTCTATGCCACGGTATCCCAGGTTATGAATTACTCACAGGGCTGTTTTTGGATATTCTGCTGCTCTAGCTACATCTAAATGATGATGCCTCTTTGTGGAAGTTCCACCCCTTGTGATTATTTCTGTATAGGCCACCAAAAAGAGAACGTTTTGAACGATAGTAAGTCTTCTGACTCCTCTAAACATCCATATAGTTTATCTACTCATAGGTGTCCAGAAAATGGAAACATAATAATAAGGAAGAAGCAATTAAAGTCGTTGGAAACCCTTACATATACCCAGTGAAGCGACTAGCCTCAGGTGATACACAGAGATGAAACAAAGCCTTCTACATACGTTATACCTGTTTATCTGCAGTCTTCTATTCTCAACATCTGTTCATAGTCCAGCATTTATAAAGGGGATAGAGAGCTGAAATTACACATGGCAGAGCTTGGTGAAGAGAGCTCTGAGAGCTGATTGGAGGGAAGGAACACACCCGCTTCACACAGTTCATAGGAACAGAGCTGAGGCTGTCACTTTCTCTCTGCCATTTTTCTCTTGGTGTCAGAAAAACTTGTCAGTAGTGATTCATGCTGATCGCCAAGTAATGAAGTAGCAGACAGAAACTACACTTAATGCTTTCAACTGAGACAAGTACACACTATAGAAGGGTATGCTTTGTTCATATTTCATGTCTGAGGTTTACAACCCAACCAGTTTTTTTGCAACTTTCAAAGCTTGGTGGAGTCCCCTCTTATCCCTGTTGACCCAGGCACTGGTCCACGTGTGTCATTAAGGTAAACACAAGCCTGACCACTGGTGCTGGGTATACAATATATGTTTTATTTAGTCATCATAATTGTGACAAGCTTATTGACAAGGTGGCCATTCCATAGGTAATGTTAAAAATGCTCCGCTCATAAGGATAAACAACCACTAGTCCTGAGAAGGGATAAATAGGTATGAATGGGTCCTGAATATAAAAGGTACATATTCTGGATTGTTCTCCTTAAGCCCAGCTGTAATTGTTTCTAGGTAGCAGTCATATATTGATTTTATATTTTGCCCAGAAGTCCTCTTTAAAGCCCAACTCCAGGAATTTTAAAAAAACTGCCCCTGCAGTGGTAGAAAATTAGGTATACACTAGTAGAATTTTGAATGAAAATTCTTTAAAATATTTTTAGGAAAAATTGTACGAAAATTCTTAGTATGAGGGGCGTTCAAGTCAAAGTGGGACTTTTGAGTTTATATAATAAAATAACAAATTTAAAGGAGTGAAAACTGCATTTATTTTTCAACATAGTCCCCTGCTACATTTATACAATTATCCCAATGCCTGGAAAACTTCAGCATAGAAAGATTTGTCAGTACACCTGAACCATCCTAGGACAGCCTGCTTCACTCCGACATCATTGTGTTCACTGTTCCCACAGAGAAGTTTTGTCTCTTGCACAATTTCAGGACAGGTTATGCGTCGATTATCCAGGATCCGGCGTTCCACACGCTGAATGTTCACAGGAATGACTGCTGTGGGCTGGGAGCCACCACGGCCGGGATCGTAAACGACGGACGTACGGCCATCTTTGAAACCTATACACTATTCACATGTCTTCCTGCAGCTGATCGTCTCATCACCGTACTGTGCTTGAAATCTTCTGTAGATATCTACGGGTTTTACACCTTCGTTCACTAGAAACATCATCACTACACGTTATTGTATGCACGCACTAACACTGTTGTCTGCCATCTTGGTTAACGGTCTCTGGACTGGCCCGTGACATGTGAGCCAACTATCAGTAATAGGACACACTTGCCACTCACTACTGCATGTAGTACCACCACGCTAGCATCCCTTTTTATACCTGTAAAATGAAAAGTCCCGGTTTGTCCTGAACATCCCTCGTACATTCAAATGTCATTCAAAAGTAGTTTCAGATTAAAAAATAATTTCCATCCTGTTCCTTCGAACGTTATTGTATGCACGCACTAACACTGTTGTCTGCCATCTTGGTTAACGGTCTCTGGACTGGCCCGTGACATGTGAGCCAACTATCAGTAATAGGACACACTTGCCACTCACTACTGCATGTAGTACCACCACGCTAGCATCCCTTTTTATACCTGTAAAATGAAAAGTCCCGGTTTGTCCTGAACATCCCTCGTACATTCAAATGTCATTCAAAAGTAGTTTCAGATTAAAAAATAATTTCCATCCTGTTCCTTCGAATTTTCTCATCACTGCGGTCAAAAACGAATGTCAATTTGATCCCACTAATGAATAGAAAAACAAATGAACGTTCTTACAATGAAAGATGTTCAACAAAATTCTACTGCTATAAACCCAGCTTAAAGCAGAGTTCCACTCGCTCTGTCAAAAAATAAAAGTCAGCAGCTACAAAAATTGTAGCTGCTGACTTTTAAAAAACAGCCACTTACCTGTCCCTCGGTCCTGCGGTGTGTCCCCCGCAGCCTGTTTCACCGGCCGTCCTGTATTCCAGGAGGCCGGCATCTTCAGTGTGGGCACCCGGCTATGATAGCTTGTGGCTTCACAGCTGGGTATCCACTGCGCATGCGCGAGCAACGCTGCGCTTCGTTAATGGTCCTGTAGTCTTCTGGGACCTGTCACGTGTCCCAAAAGACTACAGGAAGGGAGGGAGGACACCTTCCGTTTCCGATCACCTAGATGATCGGATCGGAAGTGGGAGTGGGTACCTGTCAAATTCGGGTACCCGCTCCCCCCCGCCCCCTAAAGGTACCAATCCTTAATGGGGAGTGGGGGAGCAGTCCTTAGAGCAGAACTTCCCCTTTTGGGAGGAGCTCCGCTTTAAGGTAAGTATTATACTTTATACCTCATCGTCTACAGCTAACACGCATTTAACCCTTGCAGTGTGGGAAGGGGGCATTGCGCAGGTAGTTTTCTTTTTGCAATTCCCAGAGTTGGACTATATAGATAGCATTGTCCTCCTAAGAGCAGTATGACCCGCGTTAATGAGCGCATTGATAGATGGGTGCGCCGTCAGTGTGATGTAAATGAATGCGCTGCCGATCTCGGTGTCACAGATCACACTTTGATGAAGTACATTAGGTCCGAGGTGAGAGCCACATCGCACGGGATTCTGCTGGCTGAATATCGATCAGGAAAGTCGCTCCGGTATTGACAGCTTGATTTGTATTTTGCATGAAGAATCATCCTGATTACGTTGTCGTCTGAGAGTTCTGCTCACTTTGTCTTATTTATTGAATTCTTCTGGTAATGAAGCACAAACCTGCTAATTAATGCTTTCCATTCTGTATTTTGTGTTCCAACACACTGGAGCAATTTGCAGATGCTTTTAGGATCAGGTTGTCTTTCTTAGAGAAGTCAACCTAGGGAGAAGCTTAATAGGATGACAAAGTAACTGCAAAGTGGGTGGGGCTAATTTAAATAAGGAATGTGGCTTAATTGAAGATACTCACTTCATTATATAAACACTCCAACCCCTATACAAAAATTTCGCTATACAGACAATTCTTTAATAACCAACATTTTTGAAGTGCAGAGCTTCGGAAACACAGAGATATACTGCAATACACACCCTAAACCATTGGCATCAATGAGAAATATGAACCCCAAATAAGTGGTGTCAGTGGGACAAACAATTAGCTCAAAATCATTATGGTAAGTGGGAAAAAAGCTGGGACAAAATGAGCCCCATTTATTGGTGTCAAGAATAAAAATGAGCCATAGGTCACTTGTGTCAGTGTGATAAAAACAATCCCAATCATTTGATTGGTGTCAGTGAGGAAAAGGTGCTCCAACTCGTGGTTGTCTGTGTGATAAAATGAGTCCCAATGATTGTTGTCAGTGTGGAAAATGAGCCCCAAATTATAAGTGTTAGTGGGGAAAATGTGCTTCAAATCAATAAAGTAAATGTAAAGCCTCACCTTG